TAGTAATAAAACCCAGGTGATACTGTCATAAAAATACGCACGTAGGCAAATGGAATAAAATAAGAGGACACAGGAACAAACCCATGTCCCAACCACTATCTGATTCTTGACAAAGGAGAAAGAGGAAAGACCACCTCTGATGCTGAGAAAATTAGTTATCTATATATACAAGATTGAAATAGATCCTTCTCCTTACCTCTGTATTAAAAATCAACTCAAGTGGGATCAAAGATGTAGTTATAAGACCCGACACTTTGAAACTTCCAGAAGAAAGCATGGCGAAAAACTTCAAACTATGGGTACAGGCAAACATTTGTGAGCAGAACTCCAACACCCTATGAGATAATTTCAAAAGTGAGCAAATTGGAGTATAGCAAATTAAAAAGGTTCTGCACAGCAAGTGAAGTAAACAACGGTGAAGACAACCTAAAGACAGAGAAAAATCTTGCTAACTATTCATCTGAGAGAGGATTACTGTCTAGAATATATAAATAACTTGACATAAAATAATCCAATCAATGAACAGGGAAAATGCACTGAACGTATTTCTCAAGCGAAGTACAAATGGCCAATAAAGACTCCAGCGCCCTCATGGAACAACAAAGAGATGAAGGAAGAAATGCTTCTATATTGCTGGGAAAGTATAAACTAGTATAGCACCTATGGACTCCAATATAGATACCTTCAGAAAATTAGGAATAGAATTACCATCTGACCCAGTGACACATCTACTTGGTATATACATGAAGGGACCAAAATTATATACTCCAGGGGTATCTCAGTCCCTGTAACCATGATATGGAACGAGCATATGTGCATGTTAACAGATTTTTTTAAGTGTGGTATATATACATGATGGAGTATATTATTCAGCTATAAACATGAAGAAAGTATGCAGTGAAGTATGAAAATGATAAATTTCAGGTCATTATGTCAAGCAAAATAAGGCATGTTCAGAAAGACAAGTACATATCACATGGTTCTCCTAATAGGTGGCATTTTTAGATGACATAAATGTTGAAAGGAGACTATTATTAGACAAACAGGAAAACAATAAGGACTAAGGGGTACGGGAAATGTGGGTAAGGCAGAGTAACAGGAGGGATGGATATGATCCAAATGTATTATACACACTGGAACCTAGTGTTTAATAAAATTAACAGATACCAATAAAATATATGTTAAAATGAGAAAAAAAATTAAGGGTTTGAAAAAATGAAATAAAATTAAGGGTGTGGCAGTGGTGACACATGGAGGAGGACAAAGGGGTCCTAGTGGCAAAAGTAGCCGCCCCGTGTCACCTCTCCCCTGAGGAAGATAGCGTTATATGCAGATAACCAGAAAGAATTAGGGTCTTTTTAAATTGCAAGGTGTAGAAAACAAATCCGGGCGTTAAACAACCCTAACAAGTTTCCTCTAGAGATTACCTTCTTAATGCAATGCGCTCTTGTCAATCTAAGTTTGACTAAACACAGCACACATGCCCCTGATCCTGGGCAGGACATCTAAGTGACCAGCACTGTGCACCTCAGCCAGACAGACAGCATCCCACAGTTGAAAGCAATTGCAAGTGGTTTCAGTGTTTTTTGTTTTTTGGTTTTTTTTCTGGTCTTTTTGAGACAGGGTCTCACTATGCAGTTCGGGCTGGCCTTGAGCTCACTTTGTAGCCCAGGCTGGTCTTGAACTTGCAAGGATCTTCCTGCCTCAGCTTCCCAAGTGCTGGAATCACCATGTCTGGCTAAGTGGTGTTAGTCTTGACCAAGCCTCCCAAGGCATATTAAAAGAGATGAATTCACGATCCACAGGCACACTCCTACAACTCTCTTCCGTGGTTGTCTAGCGCTGCACGCCTCACATGCTCCACCATGATACCCTTTTCCCTCGGAGAGGCGGCTCCCTGAGCCTCCCCCAAGCAGGCTTCCTCCCAGGGAAGCATGTCTCTTTCAGGCCCCTCCCTCCCCTCAGCCACTTTCCTTTTTAATCTCCAATAAGTATTGATCCCAGCCTGGCTTCCCCAGCTCCCCAAGTGATTATTCCACAATATGGAGGAATACAGGCAAGTAGGGGAGTGCTGAGCTGAAAGCTTGCACGTTCTCGTCCTGCCTGAGGAAGAACGACATCACGCATGTTAGTGAGACCTGTGTCTGCTGTCCCTGTGATGTACACACACACACAGCCCGGATGTCTCCGGAGCAGAACAGCAGGAGTGAGTTCAAAATGCTATTGTAAGAGAGCAAATCAAAAGAAACCCACATGTGCAAGGAAGGAATCTGAGTGGCCCTGCTGGGGGTCACCTCCCCGGTGGAGAAGACGGTAGTCTTCGTGAACTGGACCTAGACGACCCAGAAAGGCGTCTTCCACGGCAGTGAGCCATCTTAGAAAAATGAAACAGAGAACCAGGCCAACAAAGCGCCATGTAGTCCCTGTCCTGGGCCCCGACTGACATTCACACCCGTATCCCCAAAACTGCGGCTGTGCTCTGTTGTACGGCGAAGGAGCTTTCTTGGATCACAGCCGGGATCACCTGGGATCAAGACCTGGGAGGCAGCTCTGTGTCCCCGCGGACGCCGCCAGCCCGGGGCCCTCAGCCCTGGCACCGCAGGGCTGAGTGCCGGAGGCCGCCCTGCCCGTGCCCCCCTAGAGCTGAGGGGCGCGTCTTGAGATCGGCCCGTGGAACTCGCCCGAGCCGCCCGGACTTGTGCCCCCTGGGAGCAGAACGCGCCCGCCTCGGGGTCAGGACGGCGGCCTCGGTGTCCCTTGGCCGGACAGCTGTGGGCGGGCGGGCGGGCTGGGCACCACCAGTGTCTGAAGTCGGTAAACCCGGAGCCCGCGGCCCTTGGTTGGCAGAGACAGACCCACCTTAGGAAAGCCAACGGAAAACCGGCTTCACAAAATGGATAACCCGCGCGTGGTGGCGCTCGCCTGTAACC